CCCCAAAACCCCAAAACCCCAAAACCCCAAAACCCCGAAAGATTACTTAAAAATTGAAAATAACTCGTTTGTAATATTAGCTTAATGGAGCATTACTTATCGAAATTTAAATCAGTTGACCAATATTGGGCACGAGAAATAATGATTTTAAGAGAAGAGCAGAGACTTAATGAAAGCTTATTGAAAAAGTTACCTTCAGACACGATCAGAACAGTGTATGATGGAACTAGAAGTACAAAGCCATCCTTTTGTGTGTCAACAGAGGTAAGCTTATCCGTACTGCGTTTCCTAAGCATTATTTATAGCCCAAGTACATGAAATCGATGAAGAAACTTAGGCTTTTTAGAGAAGAAATTGAGTCTCTAGATATTGTTAGCTTAAGCGAACAATCTTCTTGGAAATTTTCTAAATTCCTAAAAGAATCGAAATTCGGATCTATCAGTAATTTGAAAATTTGCTGCAAGGAGCTTGTGAAAGGACAATCTTCCCTCCTTCTCTCACCATCAAAAATTCTCAAAAGAATGGCTTCTTTAGTTACCTGCACTTTAACATTAGAAGACAGTGAGCTATCTGTCAAAGCAATGGAAAAACTTATGGCCTCAATTTCATCTGTGAAGCACTTGAACTTTGTGAACTGTAAAATAGATGTAAATGGAGCCTTAATGCCAGCCAGAGTCAATCTAAACCTCAAATCCATAATGTTCATGGACTGTGAAGGCCCAGAGAGATGCAACTGGGATGCTTACCCTTACAAATTCCAAGACTTCCTCAGCTTCATCAGTAAAACTTCAATCACCAAAAAGATCTTCACCCTAAAAATCTTCAGCAAGATCAGTAACCTCCAAATGAGAGACATGCTACGTAAGACCAATCTCAGTGGAAGGGTAAAGCTCGAAGGTTCTTACTTCTCCAAAGGCTCGTACCACAAATACAAATCCACTTAATCAGTAAATCTTCAATATTCCATTCCCATAAAGGGGTTTTGGGGTTTTGGGGTTTTGGGGTTTTGGGG